CCCCAAAACCCCAAAACCCCAAAACCCCTGAAGGATTAATAAGGGGCAAAAAGCTAATTTATTAAAAATACAAATTGATTTTTAAAAAGGGTAGCAGACAGAAAAATGCTTGACGACATTATAGATAACATGGACCCTAAGACTAAGGAGGTGCTACAAGGGCTTGCACTTGGTGTTGGAAATTCACTCTTGCTGCTCTATATCTAATACTAAAGCAAAAAGAATCAAATGATTAAAGAGAGCTTTAATAACCCAGATGCTTGGAGAAATGATTACCCTATTATATTAGTTCATGGCTATTGCGGGTGTACAATGGATGAAAACTGGATCTTGGGAGGTTACTTTCACTATGCTTTTTCCTATGCTGCTAGATATCTCAATCTTGATCATGATCTTCATCCCTAATACTTGCAGAATGTATTCGAGGCTGATGTGTCACCTATTGGAAGTGTACATGATAGAGCATGTGAGTTATATCAATAAATAGTGGGAAAGTTTAAAATGGAAGAGATTTGCCAAAAAAGGAACATTTCAATGGCTGAAGCAGTCTATGGAAAGTAGCATGTTGATGAGCATCACTAAAGCCAATTCTATAAAATAAGATATTTAAAGACTTAAGACCCTATAAGTATGCAGATGTTTGCTTTTCCTAATGGAATTCCTGGCTGGAAAGAAACTAAAGATCAAAGAATACATTTTGTTGGCCACTCAATGGGTGCTATTACTATAAGATACCTCCAATATCTGCTGAAAACAGGCTACTTCGATTAAATTGAAGGAACCCCTATAAGAGACAGAAGTGATATAGTTGCATCGCTAACATGCTTAAGTGGTGCAAATAATGGCACGTTAGTCGTCAATAATTGTGGACTTCAGTATGATAGGGAACTCTCTAACTGGGTAATGAATAAAAATGCAGTGATGATGAGAGCATTTAAAATGCATGTTTTCTGCTAAAATTTCTTCAATTCTCAAAACTTTCAACAAGAAAAGATTAAGAAGGTTCTCAAACAAAAGAATGGAGATAAGGTTTATCAACTAAACTTTTAACTACACTATCTTGTCCTTTATGATCTTAATGTCGAAATGTGGGATTGGAATAGACGAACTAATGAAAGTTTGTATTCTTATTGGAAAAGACTTCAAGAAGACACCTTTCAAGTCTAGAGTAAGGATTTATCATTTGTTGATCTTAACCCTGCTGGAATGATCCAATTAAACACAATTGTCTAGTCCAATCCAAATACTTACTACTTTAGTATTACAAATGGATATAGAGACAACAATACGATCAAATCAAGAGAGATATTAAGGATTCATAAGAAAATTACTGATTAAGCTCTCGGCTATAAAATAGATATGGATGAGGAAATAGCATTAAACAAAACTAAGATGAATTAGTATAACAAAAAAGAGAAATCTTGGTGGGATCAGATCAACAATTCAGTTGGGGTCTTTATCAAGTATTTAAGCAACCCAATATTTTCGCATCTATCCTTTTTCTACGAGACATAGACGTAAGTAGATGCGCTTTAAAGGCATCTTTCAAACTACTTCAACCCTAATATGAATAATGTTGATGCCGCAGATTATGTTAATAAAGATTGGACTGAAGACAATGATTTTGCAATAGCTAGAAAATCTAGCGAGTTCCCCAGAATGACTAATGACTATCACTCACTCCTTGATTAATATAATAAACCTTGGGGGCACATTGGAGATCCTCAAATTATGGATTTTATTGAGAACCCAATATTCTAGAAAGACTATTTAAGACCAGGGGTCTGGTACTTTGGTGGTGTACCAAGATCAGATCACTTGGATTTCTGTGGCATCCCACCAAAGCTCCATCCAATAAGGACACTACTAGGGAGAGAATATAGGATAAAAATATGGAGGAATATATATTCAAGACTTAAAATGCTTAAGTTTGATGAAATTAAGGCTTGAATTATGATCTATTTATTGATTCGAATGTTACTTTAATCTTAATTTCATCACTCTGTCTTAATAAAGCAAATATACAATCAGAAAAGTACCTCACTTCTTACTTTTCTTGCTCTTATTCTTTTTCTTCTTCTTTAGAGGTATAGGGCCTTTCTTTGACAAAGACTTTTTATGAATATAGTCCTCATATTCCTCATTTTTTTCCTCCATCCACTGGTGACCCTCGTAATCATCTATGGCATCACCTTCAAATTCCCATAATTATTGCACGTGTTTCTCATGTCTTTGAAGCCAAAGCCTGATTTGAAATGGTTTCCCACTATTCCTTGTAATTTTATCTAGTGCTTGTTAAGTCTCATTTACTTCTTAATAGAGGGTTCTCCATCTTGCTGGAGCATTTAATTTAGCCAAGGTAAAATGCTATCTCCCCACAGCCTGATACTCATATGAGCTTTTATTCACATCAATTTTATCCCAAAGATTAATCTTTATCATATATTTGACTTTGGTGTTCACCTCCATGCACAGCACAGAAAGACTTAAAGTATCCTCAGTTAATTCAATTTATTCATCGTCTGCATTAGAACAGCCTGGGGCATCATGCCTATGAGCATATCTAAGTTCCACAAACACATGATTTAAAGATTAAGCCCACTAAACTGGCGTCTCTACTATCAAGTAATCCTTTTACTTTGTCACGTATGCCTGTAGCTTTTCCATTCTCTCATTTACTAACGCCATCCCTTGCCTCATATAATCTAAGACTATTGGCAGCTTCTCTAATTCTACCTTTTGAATCTAATTCTTAGTAGTATTGAAGTAATTCATGTCAAGCAGTTCCTTAAAACACTACAATTTATATTGATTATACAATAAAATTTACCTCAGGATTGCTAATAACTATTTGGCTATCAATCAGATGCTAGTTCAAAGATTCATCAGTTGAGGAATCATATATAATTTAACAGTCATCCGAGATTGCACTCACAGTCAAACTAAAGCAGGAAATGAGACTAGATAGGAGGATAAGATTATCTAGAAATTTCATTTTAGTTTTAAGTTTAATGTTAAAAAATATTTAAGGAGCGATCGAGTTTAATTTAAAATTTAAGAATGCTCATTAATCTCAGCTTTAAATCATAAACATATAAATAATTATCAAATTTAATTAATGGGAGCATTCGATAAAGTTTTTGGTTTAGCATTAATTCTTGCTGGAGTTACTATTGCAGTGTACTATACTCTATGGGTAATTCACAGTATCGTAAGCTCATAATGATTATTTGAATAATATATATAGCCATGCGTTTGCAAGCATTTTGGAGATTTACCTGTGTTTTTAGATCCAGTTTGGTTATTTATACTTCCATCTATGGCTTTAATTGGCGGAGTTTCTTTCATCTGGTTCTTCATTTCAAGCACAAACAAGAAAATTGCGCTAGCTAAAGCACAAGCAGCTGCTAAAGTAGCTCAAGAAAAGAAAGGAATGTGAGTATTGCAATTAATTCAGAAAGTATTAGAACAAGAATGCATATATATTATGTGATTTAGTTAGATCATAAAAATTAAAACAAGCCCACTCTCAAAAACACGAATTTTAATGATCTCTTAACTTAAATATGGGTATATAATATTCAACTGCATGTTAAAGGGTAATTTAGGAATTAATATAACGCATCATTCACATCTTTAAATAATCATCTTTCAAATTCACTTCGATTTTCACTCTACTTTCGGAGATGCAATTGACAAATCTATAAAGAAAAATGTGCACGCTACAATGAACCATATACTTAGACACATAACTTGAAGATCACAAGACATGATTTTATCTTTAAGTGTCTTCTCTTTACTAAGAGTTTTCTATAATTCCTTGACTGTTTTCTTAGTGTTTACTTTGCTTTACACAAAATTGTCTTCAATTCTAGTTAATGTCTCCCCTTATTCAACTACAATCTCATTAAGTTAGTTATACATTCTATTGATTTAGTGAAGAGAGTTTGAAACTTTCATTATTTTTTCAGTTCTCTGCTTCAAAAACTAGTCATGTGACTGTAATTGAAACTCTTCAACTTCATCTTCTTTCTTCAGTTTCTGCTTTTATTTCTATTAATGCTAGAATAGATTACTGGATTCTTCATTATCTAACTGGGTAACATCACTTTCATTGTAATTAAAGCTGGCTGAATTGGTGCTTATCTTTGAATATTTATTATCCCCTTTCATTGCAGGCTCTGAACTTTGAAAATCGCAGAAATCATCATCAGCATCATCTTCATCACTACCAGCATCTAACAGTCCTTTCTTTTCATAGTGGTGTGTATTCTCCTCTAGGTCATTCTCCTCTAATTGATCTTTATACTTTACTAGCAGTTCTTGCTCTTTATACACCAAAGATGAACTCAGCACTTCAAGTTCTTTTACTTTTTTCTGCAGTATATTCTCAAATTTCATTTTAGAATTCTCATCTTGAACCCTATAGGTTTAAATTCAGTTTTACGTTCCATAACAGATTATAAAATTGATATCAAAGGTTGAAATATTTTGGGGGTTTAAGAATAAAACTTACGCTAGCACTCTTTTCTAGAGATCAGAGGAGAGTTTTAGATTCTTTTACAAGTTTGATCTGGTTTCTTTTCTCTCTTGGTCTTCCAAAACACTATATTTTTGGAGTTGCTTCTTAATTCTTGCATTCAGTTTATCAATGTCATTCAAGTCTAGGTATATCTTATCCACTTCTATCTTCTAGTATGAACTGGAAGCATCAGACATTGCTCCGACACTCATCCTAGGCGCAGATTCTAACTCTATGTCTTTAATTGTCTGATAAGACATTTAAATGTGCAATTAATTTATTATTGCTTTTTCTCTATTTTTCACGTATAATTTGAAACTAGGGGTTTTGGGGTTTTGGGGTTTTGGGGTTTAGAGGATAAGTACAAAGAGTAATTAGTAATTTAAAATTAGAAATTGTTTATAAAAGATTAGAATC